TCGCCATCGACCAGACCTTCACTGCTCGCCGTTGACCAGCATCTTCAGACAATCGGACCCTTTGCTCGTCATCGACCCAGCATTCATCGCTGCTCACCGTCGACCCGCCGTTCAGCCCCTGATCTCCATCGACCCGACCTTCATCCCACGCTCACCGTCGACCCGCACTTCAGCTCCCTGCTCGTTGCCTTGTCATTGCCGTCGTCGTCTGCTTCTCTTCTCGTCGGCAAAAACTCTTGTTGCCTTATCCCCTGTGTCTTTATCCTCTGGTGAGTTTCCCATGTGCCATTATCCCTTCTTCTTTTGAAAGCATAGCATAACCCAATTTTTTCCATTTAAACTAGACGGCATGCATATAAAGGTTAAGAATTGATTTGCGGAGTAAGTAGAACAAATTTTCTGCATATAAACATCTTGTCCCAATTTAGGCAAATGGGTTCTATGAGAAAAGTCAAAAGCTCTAATTAACCCATGCATGTCCCTCTCTTCACAAATTGATTGTGCTGAATCTTTATTGGTGTTTGATTACTTTTTGGTGTATATCTAAAACATATACCTAACTTTCCGTTCAAGAAGCAAGCACAAATTGTTATAGCTACTTGTGTGCTTCATAACTTCATCAATATCCACTGTGATGAAGATGTCTTATTTGACGAATACCAACAATGTGACGAAGAAGTTCAGGGAGTACAACAAACTGAAGTGTATGATGTCAGTTCAACTCAAACTCGGGCGATGGATATTCGACGTGATGAAATAGCAGACGAGTTGTGGAATGACTTTCAAGCAGGAATTATTTGATGTTTTCACTTATTTGATATTATAGTTATACTTCTTAAAATATTTGGTTGATATTCTAGTGTTTTGTTATTTGTTTAAGACAATATTCCTATTGAAAACATATATCAATTTGTAACAATCATATCTAAACAAATTTTCATTTCCAGGTTTCAGTTTCATATTTCTCTAAATTCTCAGCTAAACAAGTTTTCTTCAGGTTTTGTTTCCCAGGAAATGATAGATTCCTTTTCTTTAGATTCCCTTTTCTGTCTTCCAGAAAACAAAAAACAGAATGAATACTAAACGGGGCATAAGGAAAAAGAAATAAACCATCATTGTGAACATCAGGCGGGACCGTGAACACAGCCCAAAACACACTGCTTCATTTGTTGAGTTCGCAGTCCATGGCTTCAGTTCACGGTCTTACGAACATGAACTGACTCAGCTTAGTAACCTCTGAAGACCCTCTAGACGCCCTTCAGTTCGCGGTCTGTGGTTCCAGTTCACGGTCCTCGCAACCGTGAAATCGCAGCTTAGACCGTGAACTGCAGCAGCTTCCTCCTCTTTGCCCGGTCTTTGCGCCTTTTCTTCCAACTTTCGACTCTGAGGTTGGGTTCACTTGTTAGACTCTGAAACACATTGAAACACAACAAACCTAGCGTAAAACCACCCTTTTTGGAGCTCAAATGCCACAAACACCAAAGAGAAATTGAGATAAAAAGTGTACATTTAGGCCCGAATCAAAGCCAAAAAACTTGCACCAAAACTTAGAGCTCTCACACTTGAGTACAAGGAAGCCAAACAAAAGGCACGACAAGAAAGAGAGAACGCCAAATTTTAGGATTAAAGTATTGTATTAGATGATTTTATAAATGCCTGGTGGTTTTTCTTGGATTTGGCAATGGATTTTCTAACTTGGAGTTTGGTTTATATTGAAGTATTATTGCATTGCATTGCATTGAGTAATTTACCTATGTTTTTTATTGAATAATTATGGAAATGTTAATTAATGGTATATAATCATTGCTTGATAGTTGGTACGGTAAAAGAACAACAACAATTATGAATTAGTAATCCAATGGAATAGATGTCTTTTAGAGTAATGGCCAAAACTTCCTTTCTTCTAGCACAAGCAAGCTGCCAGAAAAAACAGGCTTTGTAGCAACTTTGAACCCTTCGTTTGAAGCCTTACATGTAAGCATTCAATCATCCAATACCTGGTCTTTGTAGTAGAAATTACCTTATTTCATGTGGTATAAAGCTCCTGACTCAATTCTCAATCATCTTCCTCTAATGGAGCTTCAAAGTAGGCTTCACAGTCATGTTTCCAGACTTGATTTACAAGAAGTTTTCCTGTTTTGATATAGCAACTTTCAGGCTTTGGAAAATGACCTTAATAACTTGTTCTGGATCCACCAATGTTTCCAACATGTAGATAAACACTTGGTCTTCAATACAAACCCTTCTTCTTTCATTTTCATCGAGCCATTTGTGAGAAACAAGCCTCCAAAGTGGGCACCCAAAAACGAATTTGAGATTGCTTCATTGTCAAGCAATTATCACTTGTAGAATTGGCCAAGTTGGATCATACCAGGCCCCCCTTCTTCAAAAAGATTTGCCCTGTCGACTTGAGCAGCAACCTCCTTTGCATCAATGAGAACAACCTCTTCTGCCCCTTCTGAAGGCCTACGCGGGAAGACGTAGTGCCTCATGATGAGGGCGGCAGGTATAAGGACGGATGATTCCTCGAAAATATAACCATCCGTAGGAATATCCAGATTGGCAATCAAAAGGCTTATGTATCCACCAAAGGACAAAATCTCACTGTACTCATCACTACTTGCTCTGATCATGCGGTCGAAAAGCAAGTGGGAATAGTCAAGCTTGCGTCCAGCCAAGGCATTGGAGATCACCCAAAGATCAAGTTGATTGACGACATCAAGCGAGTCCCTGCGGGGAAGAAAGACATGCGTGATGAAATAGTGAAGAACCCTATGCACACGTTTGAGAGATGCAGTGGTGATTATTTCAGTGGGGAGTACAAGCCTTCCAAGAAGCTCGTCGTATTTCTCAATGGGATCAAACTTGTGCGTTGCCATTTCTTGCTCATGAGCAAGGGGAAGGCCACCAGTGGGAATGTTAAGAGCCCGACCTAGGCCTTCAGTTGTAATCTCATGACCAGCAACAAGACTTGAGAACTCTCGAGATTCAATACTCATGCACTGCATGTTTGCATAGAATACCTAATAGCGAGAGGACATGGAGGTAGAGGGAGGGAGTGAAACCCCCATCCAGTGTTGTTGATGTAGTGCAGCACCTGAATATCAAACTCTCAAAACTCTGCAGGGTCGACAATGATTTAGTGTAAAGAGAATGAGAAGCAAACAACAAGTGTAGAGATCAAATTGTTTTGGTCTCTGTCTTGCAGTAGATTGAAATGAAATGAGAATCGTCTGCACACATTCAGTATGTTGATGGTGTTGGGTTTTTTAGTGGTGTGAATGGAAATAAAAGGGGAAAGCTCCAAGAGAATCTCTTGAAGTACCATGTTGGTAAGCTGTGGGAAGGCGTGGCGAATTCGATCGATTTAATGTAATATGTTGGTAATCGGTAATATTGGTTAGTGTAACCAACCGAACCAAACTGAGGTGAACCAAATCGAACTGAACCGATGTGGCGGTTGGAATAACCAAACCGGTCCAACTACCATGGGCCGAACCGATGCAATGGTTCATTATTTTAAAAACGAACCAATGTGTTGGTTGGGGTGTAACCACCCATACGAAGAGTCGCCTCCCTTCGTACGCACCCCTTCATTTTTCTATAAATAACACCTAACCCCTCTGGTTTTGAGATGGATTTTCTCCAGTACCAAAACTCTGCTAAATCCAAAACTAGTTTTCTGCATTCTTTTCAAAGAGAAAATCGAGTCAAGTGTGGTTCTCGCCGGTTGGCTGCGTTCGATGGGTTCCGGGGTTTGAGGTACCGCTACGCCGGATAAGGTACGTCCTTTCTATCCTGGGAAGAATCATTCCATAACCTTGGGTACTAGAAGGGAATAAGATTCTTTAAGAAGAGATAGTGAATTCTATCGGTTAGAACGCTTACATGTATCTTGGCATATTTTCTTAATCTTATGTATTTGCTTGTGTTGCAAGAAAATAGTATAGGTGAACAATTTTCCTCAACAGATGTCACGACGTTGTTATCAAAGAAAGAGTTTGTCAAAATTCTCTCCTCCTTCGTCCCTTAGCTTTGCTTGTTTCTCTCGATAAATGATAAATAATCAAAGACGTGCTACTTAAATTCTCTCATGCACTGTCATGATTAGGCACGATGAGAACACTACTTGATCAAGGGAATGAATGAATGTTTGTCTTATTTATATATTTATTATTGACAATTTTATAATATATTCGTTACATTACATCACAGCACCACATTCCCACTAACCAAGTATGAATGAAGAAAAGAAGAGCTACATCAAGCATATACAATTATAAGGAACAGCTAGATCAATATTAAAACTAAACGTACGTCGTCGATAGACTTTGTATTCTGTAGGAGTGCCACTGTAATAGAAGGGTGATGCATTCATGGATTGTTCACTATTCCTCTTTAGTTCCTATTTTGCTAATTGTTGTCGGTGAGTCTTTCATCGTAATTACTCCTATCATGTTGTTATGGTACTTAGATTAGTATTTTTCCGATCTATATTTATGTATTTTGTTGAGTTTGTTTTTTAATTAGTTTTTGGAGTGTTGTAGGTTGAGTAAAATTCAAAGTATGTTATACACGAAGTCAGAATATAATATCTAGATTTTGAATTCACTAGAGTTTGGGATATGAGATTATATCCTAACTTTTAAAGATTAAAATCTAGGTTTGAATTCAATAAAATTCATATACTAAGATTAATTTAATTAGAAATAATAATTGACGATAATGATTCGTCGAAATATATGCAACAAATTACATGCACAATCTTAGAATTTAAGTCTATAATTTAGATAATTAAGACATATGTTTTCACTTATCAAAAGTAATAATATATGATGTCTCAAAATCCAGTTAATTCGATGTCTAGATATCATTTTCTAATACTTATGTTATCTTTAATTTATCGTAACTGTAGGGGAGAGCACAGGAGTAGCTAAAGCTTTTGTAATCAAAAAGAAAAAGGGCAAAGATATGAAAAGAGTAACTGCGAGTAACCAGGCTAATAAACAGGTAAGAGATAAAAAGAAGAGATAAATATGGCAGTTTGCCCTCGCTTTCTTCGGTGTCTTAATTTCATTGATCCGTCGGACCCGAAATCTTTGTTCTCTCCTCCACCCCCGACCCAAAAACCCTGCAATGTTTGTGAAAAGAACCCAGAACCTCTAAATAACTAGAAAAAAATACGTCTCAGTAAACTAAGTAAAATCAATAAACAAACAGAAAGAAAGGAAAAAGGGAGGAAGTTCCGGCTGTCTCTCTAATTCCTTCCATGCAAGCTGAACCTTATCATATGATATATCTCGTCGTCCTCTCTCCCAAAATCCCCGGCCCTTTCCTTTTCCATAATTTTTTACCCTTTTCTCTCGTTATCAGATCAGCCATACACTTCGTCGATTCTAATGGACGACGATAATAACCATCGTCGTCATAACCACCACAGCATTCACCCTGCCGCCGATCCCAAAAAGCAGCAGCAGCAGCAGCAGCTTTTCCCCTCGCCGGTTGTAATTCGGAGAGAGCTCGTCTACGCTTTTCTTTCCTTGTTTCTCTTAATCGGATCTTCTCTCTACGCCTTGGATCTCCTCGCCCCGCTCGATCCGGTCTCCTACTTTCGGGTCGGCTTCTTGGCCCGAACCTTGACAGCCTGCGGTGACTACGGCGACGGGGAGTGGGTCCGGGATGTGAGGAAGAACCAGGACGACGTCGGATCGTACGGGGAGAACTGCCCGTTTCTTGATCCTGGCTTCCGCTGTCGCTGGAACGGCAGGGATGACGTGGATTATCTCAACTGGCGCTGGCAGCCACGCCGCTGTAACCTCCCCAGGTACTTTTCATGCTTACCTACGTGTACACATCAAACTTTCCTTCATCGAAATTGTTTTTTTGGTAATTAAGTTGAAAGATAAAAAAATAATAATAGGGAATTGAAAGTAAAAGCAGATTTTAGCCCTCTGCTTGCTTTGCTGCTACAGCCACGGGCTTTCCTTTCCCGCCTTTTTACTCTTTTATTACCAACTGCGCTGCGCAACCGTATTCCGCAATCCACACTATCACCTGCGTCAGAATATGTGATAAACTAGTGTTTGGGAAACCAGCAGATTCAACGCGACGGACTTTCTGGAAAGGGCGAGGAACGGGAGGATAGTGTTCGCCGGGGACTCCATCGGCAGGAACCAGTGGGAGTCGTTCCTCTGCATGCTGGCGCAGGGAGTCTCCAATGTCTCCACCATCTACGAAGTCAACGGGAAGCCCATCTCCAAGCACAGAGGCTTCCTCGTCATGCGATTCAGCGAATACAACCTCACCGTCGAGTACTACAGACTGCCCTTTCTGGTGATCATCGGCCGCCCGCCTCGCGGTTCCCCGCCAGAGGTCAAGGCGGCGATCAAGGTCGACCAGCTCCACTGGTTCTCCAACAGATGGGTCGGTGCAGACGTTCTGGTGTTCAATGCTGGACACTGGTGGAACCAGTACAAAACCATCTACATGTACGTAACGTACGCAGTGCCCTGCCCTCCTTTACATTACAATTACATACCACCCAGCACTCCATGGAAATGACATCACTGTTTGCTCTCTTTTTCTCTCCAAGTCCAGGGGTCACTATTTCGAAGAAAATGGAGTAATAAACAGGTCTATGGGGGTTATGGAAGCGTTTGAAAAATCGCTACAGACATGGAGGAATTGGGTGACTGAGAATCTGGATCCTCAGAAGAGTCATGTCTTCTTTCGCAGCTATTCCCCTGCTCATTACAGGCATGTTCCTTCTCTCAGTACAGAGTATACCTAACAACCTTTTTTCTTTCATTGCTATACTATGGATGACAAAACGCAGGCGGTGTTGTAGGAATGGGACGTGGGCCGATGGAGGGCACTGTGATCTGGACCTGCAACCAGAGACGAACCCGAAGCTTCTTGCCCCTGAGCCGACGAATAACCGACCGATTTCTCAAGTGATTACAGAGATGAGATGGGGAAACTACAAGAGAGTTGAGTACTTGAACATTACACATCTGACAGAGTACAGGAGCGACGGCCACCCATCGCGCTACCGTGAGCCGGGGACCCCACCGGACGCTCCACAGGATTGCAGTCACTGGTGCCTACCAGGAATCCCAGATGTGTGGAATGAAATTATGTATGCTCATTTGCTGTCGATGGGATTCAGAACCAACAGATGACGACGAAGCCAAACTTCTTTTTTGCCCCCAGAATGGATGTACATAAGACGAGGGGCCTGTGTGGTTGTAAGGATCAGGATGGGGACTCGTCGCTTTCTTGGGGGTCGACTTCAATGGCTTCTGTTTGCTTCACTTTCTCGAGCTGCCTCAAGAGGTAGAGCCTTTCTGGTCCATATGTAGAAGGTATCTGCCAGAGAACCAAAATTATTGGAGATTCGTTCATTTTAGGGACTTGAATAGGAGAGAGTACAGTGTTGAGAATCACGTACCAATCCGGGTGCATATCGCTGAATAGCAGCTAGAATTGCTGCGTGGCCAACTGCAGTAACCTGTTGTGTCGGGAATTGCCAGATGAGAATAACAGCAGGTAATATGGCAAATGGAATTCTAAACAATTCAAAATACAGCTTCTACGGTTCGAAAAAAGGATGTTCGGTTATCTCTGATGGGGTATTAATGCACTACTAAATTCTAGCAATAAAACTAGCTAATGGACGATGAGAGTCAAGGAAATGAACGATGCATCACCACAAGTAATTGCGTATTGACATAATTAGATGTGAAGACTCACAGGAAGAAGCATGAGAACACCAATGGGGACAACGGATGCCAAGTCTGTGACAGTTCTTTGAAGAGCACGTTTCTCTTTCTCTGTCAGCTCATCTCCAATCAAGGACCTTCTAAGCAGTCCCATTGCCGCGCCAACATCAATAGCTAGGAGCTGTGTTCCTTGCAAGACATCCTGTTCACAGTTTTTCAGCCACATATTAGAACCGATTAGAGAGACTGCATCCAGAGTACTGAGATGTTGTATAGTAAGTAACTATCCAATCCACTAAGAGGAGCAAGAAGACTAATGCTTCCCATGAAAGCTTGACGATTTTTAGTTGACTAAGAGAAGCAAGAAGACTAAGCGAAAACCAAAATGACCAAAGAGTTTCGTAAAAGAAACAATTCCATTTGATTTGATAACAGGTGCCGTACTTGTCCATCCACTAAAATTGGAAGTGTCACATGCCTGATTTTACTTGAAATATACTATTCTTGTTTTATCTTCAGAAATAATGCTTATGCTTTTGATCAAATGAAGTTCAGTGACAGATACCATGCTAGTTTCTTTCAGTTTTTCGACCGAGCTTGCAATAATATCGCCCTTCTTCTTGGCTGGGAAGAACACAGAATCTGGAGTACCATCACCTGTGCTTTTAACTTCCTGAAAGGAGACATTTTCACTTACTTAGATGATGCGACCATAATGGCGAAAGAAAATAATCAGGTAAGGCATAGACAACCACTCTCATGCAAAAAACCTGAATCCTACTTGCGAAATGGACATTGCAAGTGTTGAAATGCAAGAGTTGGAAAGGATTGTAAATACCTCTTCATTTTCATACTGATCTGTACTTCCTTTCACCCGCTTTTCTAATTCCACCAGCTCATTCCTTATCAGTTCAAAACGTTGAATTTTGATTGACTCTGACTTTGCAACCCCCAGGCTTGATAAGTCAGAGCAAGGCTTCTTGGTCGGAAAACCTATGAAGCTTTGCAGTCCACGAAGTTCACTGCAACTCCAAGAACTGGGAAATAAGAATAGATATACCAGAGTCTACCAGTAGAAATATATTGAACACGAAGAGAAGCATATGAAACTCGATTGAAATGACCAAAAATGATGCTACCTGTCACTGGGCTCTAGCCTCCCTTCCAAGTACTGTTGCTGCTCACGACAAGAAGACTGGAGATCGTTATCCTCATCTCCCTTCACATAAATTAGTATCGGTAAAATAACTCCCAAATCTGAATGAATGAAAATATATATGTAGATACCTAAGTGCCACCTTTCCCTCTCTGAGGGAGACAAAAATATGAAGGCTGGGAAGGAAAAGATGGATATGACATTACCTGATCTAAGGATTCTGCTTTTGCTCTGAATGATACCTCCAGAAATTCAGCCTCTTTCTTGAGTTTCCTTATCTTTTCAAGATCAGAACAAGCAGCTTTTAACTGCTCTTTTCCACGACTAGAACTTGAAACATGGAACTCTTGAAGCAGATTTTCCAATTTTATGAGAGCTTCTTCGACTCCTTCCAATGCCTAACATAAATTGCAGAAGCATAATGACATGCAGTGGCGGACCCAGAAATCTTTCATAGGGGTGTCCTCTTTTAAAAAATAAATTAAATAAATATAAAAATAATTAATAAATATAAAATTGTAAATATGAAAATACCTTACTCGTATAGGTTAAAACAGTTCATGATGTGTTTTCATATTCAAAAATAATTGTAGAATACACTTGGTGTCTATTGTGTTAAAAAAATTGTCTCTATATACACTACTAGACAATCATTCACGTGTAAAATCAATTTGGATAATTTTTCACATGTAATTTCATGCATTAATCACCAAATTTACTTTGGAATGCGTAAAATAAATCTTTATTGAAGTCGGTACATAACCATCTCGTTCCCAACTGGGACCTAAGTTAGTCTTTTATAGTTTAACCAGGATGCTTCAAGGTTAGTGCCTGCAGGGCATATCCCAAAATAACATCTTGAGTTTAAATCTATACTGTGATGTCACTCAACTTAATATAGCACCTGCATGGAAATACAGCTAAAAGTGACGCAAAAGAAATAAGGGAGGGGAGAGATGATGATAATAATAATAACAATACCAATAATAGTAGTAATAATAATAATAATAATAATAATAATAATAATAATAATAATAATAATAATAATAATAATAATAATAATAATAATAATAATAATAAGATTCCCAGAACATGAGAACAAAGTGAGAGACAGTTCCATGGAATGGGTAGGTAGCACAGAGGACAAACCTTTTCAAAAGAATCTGTATCCTGCTTAGTTGGTAAATATATACTAGACCCAACTCTCTCAATAGAAAGGTTGCTAGCGTTCTCTGCAACATTCCTGCATTGCCATAAGTAAAAATTTACTGATGAACAATGACCACTTCAGAACATCAATGAACAGGCAACATATACACAAAAATATGCTACAAATTATCTTTCACGCCTAGAAACCACATGTAATGTGTGTATGTGCTGTGCTGGGGGGTGGGGAGGGGCAAAAAATATACATCACTGTCCTCGGCTTTATCTGCTTAATTATGGGTGTGCAACTAAGTGAGGTTGGAGACTCCATTAGCTTACCTTGATATGCCCAGTTCATCCACACATTCCATTAGTTTCTTGTGTCTGAGAAAACAAGAATTAAGGTAGTTGTTAAAAATGAAGTTAGATGACCTCACTGCCAAACATCCAATACAGCTGTAAGTGAATTACCCCTTAGACAGGAACCTCGCCGCCTTAACATTAGAAGGGTTCTTCAGCCATTTACTATATTTAATAAAGCTTTGCATCCAATGAGAGCAGACATCAAGTACTTGAGGAATGGCTTCAGCATTTGGAGGATTATCTTTATTTTCGTGACCATGCGACTGTTTTAAGGTGTTGTCGTGCCCTGGATAAAATTGAAGCCAGTCCAACTCCTCACAAACAACCTATCAAATGAAAGTGCACAGGGAGAAACAAATTTCAACATAAAACTCAAAGCAGGACATCTGTACCACCAGTTATCATGCGAAACAGTCATCACAAAGGTTGCTCACCTCTACATATAACTGATAAGAGCTTATTGATGAAAGTTGAGGATAATATAATACGCTGCCACTGATTAGAAACCTGCAATGCATCACAGTAACTTAAATATTTAAGGAACTGAATGAATACATAATCATTCCGAGCAGGTAGCACCACAAGACACATAAAACGCTACCTCATGAAACCATCAATAGGCTCATTAACTACGTCAAATCCATTTGCAGATAAGAAGGACTGGGTGCTTCTTCCCAAGGCAACAAAAAATCCAAATATAGCCAAATCCTTGTCCAGCACCTGAAGCAAATTGGCAATAACCATTGATAACAATTTCCATGCAACAACAACTCTGTCTCTACTCTTTCCCACCGTGTAAGTAGTATCAACACATTTCCAAAGCTTTTACATGCAATCATATCCCTTGGGAGCGCAAGCCAATCAATGTTGAAAAGTCCAGTTAAAGTTTTAGTTACAAATCCGGGGAACCACAATAGGTATGAAATAGACAGGGCTCCGACCAAGCTCCTTGCTTTCCAACAACATCCAGAAGTTTTAATTTATTTTCTGTTCTTAATTCCAGAGACCATTCTTCTAGTTTTTGAATGGAGGTCTAATTAACTTATGCCTAACAGGATGAATAATTAACAGATTTCACGTGAAATAAAATTGATAATACAGTCATAATTAGTACCAAAAGTGTCCCCCTGACTGAAGAATCTTCCATCAAAATCTATCAGAAACCCATTCAGCCTTATGGATGGATCTCTCAACTAAATAAGAGAGGTTTTTACCATTCATCAATTTTATTCTTACAGACCAGAGTTAAAATAAGCTTATCGCAAGCATGTAATTCCTATTACCAATCTCCCACATTCAGAAAATGCAGGTACTAACCTCAATACTTTCAGATGTTGTCAGTCTTGACCATATTTTCTCTCTATCTATAGCTCGTTGGAGCTGCTTCTGCACAAGATTAACCCAGAAAGCAACTTCTTCCGAACCAAGATCATCCTGCACTCTGCATGCTGCTGCCCGAGGTCCAAAATGGACAAGAAACTCTCTGCGTAAACCTATATCCTTGATTGACCGATAAGCCTGATGTATAGGAATCAAATCAACCAGCATGTCCATCAATTTGCCAGTAATGTCTACTGGAACTAATTCGGAGCAAGCAACTTTAGTGGGGCCAAGTTTTGTGATAGCAGCAATACAAGTCAATGCAAGTAAAAGGAGTGAAGTATCAGCTCCATTGTCCGAGCCCAAGTACATGCCTTTCCCAGACCTGAAAATAAAGTTGAAGTAGTTTTAATTGCAAAATAATTAAAACAACCAACACAAATTTACTCAGATAACAGCTAAATTTGGATAGAGGTAGCTGCCTACACAGAAGTGGCAACTGTAAGACGTGGGGCTCCATCAAAGTAATTAACAAAGGATGTCACAGCCAATGGAATTTGTTCAGCCCAAAACCATTCGCTAGCTTTAAGTTGCTTTGCAGATAGTTTTCCCCTGATTAGGCTCTCCAAGGAAGCAGATACCCTTAATAAGCTGCATCAACGATGACAATAAGTATTAGATGCACTAAAAGGAAGAAGAAACAAAGTCCAGGGAGACCATGAAATGGCAGGTAAAGGGAGGAAATTTTGAAGAAGAAAAAAAAATAAGAGGAAACAATACCAAACACTTAAAGTACTAAAAAATGGTTCAGATATAATGTTAGCAGCAAAGAGCATAAGCAAATCAATAAAAACACCAACAACACATCACTGGGCTTAAAGCTCAACTAATCACCATAAGCTTCAGGAAACTGCCAATTATTATTATTATCCACTGTTAAACTACTGGAGTAATTTCATAGGTGATGCCCAATTTGGAGGTCATTATAGGACATATGTGCTTTGCAGATAGAATAGCACAAGGTCAGTCTTAGCTTGCTACATCCCCATCAAAATCAATGTGGAAAGGGGGTGAAGAAGGATAAGTTATATACGATAAATGCTACCTCATACCTTCTCTGAACAAACATGTTTACATCCTTGTCTCCACCACTGCATCGAGATGATATCTCACAAGCTGCTTGCAATAAGGAATATACAGAAGCCTGAGAAATTCATTTCTAATTAGATGGTCTAACTGACTTCAGTCTGAAATAGTTAAGAATATGGAGGAGCGTAAGTTGTAAAGCATTACCATCAGATTTCTGCATTTTATAAGCTAACTTTACTACGAAAGATCACAAACCTGATAAGTCAACGTTTTCAGCCACGCATTACCATCTCCACCAAGCCAGGCTGTTGAGAACCAGGAATTTGACACGATGCCTCGCTCTTTAATTGCCAACTCAAAAACCCTGGCTGCATCATGCAAAGACTGAACCAGTCTATCACCTTGATCTTCCCCTTGTAGTGACTGATTGAGTTTCATTCTCATTTCCTTCACATCACCACTGGTGCTTGGTGTGGGGCTCCCATTAACAGTTACAGTGTCGTCAGCAGATCCACATGGCAATAACCGGCCCAACCTTCTCTTTCGATGGAAGTCCAAATTCTGTTTTCTAGACCCTGCCAATTGGTAATTAGAACTACAACTACCATTCCCCAGAAAAGCAAGTTGCTTCAGGCTCCTTCTCCTTGCTCTACTGCAATGCATTAGGTAACCAAACTGAACCACTCCTTTGACAAAAGCTTCTGCTTGAATTGAGTTTTGAGAAAAACAAGGACTTGAACAGCTGCACACAGAAATATCAGAATAAAAGAAGAACTTAGCCTCAACATACCACAGTAAATATAAATATTTACAACCACCGTAAGCAAAAAAAAAAACCAAAAAACAAGGCACAAGCAACTCCAATATGCTTTCCCGCCAACATTCCAAGGCCAGTTTTTTCTAAGCTTGAGTTGCCATTCGAAAAACATAGACCCACTTAGTCCAGCTGCATTTCTACGGTATCACCATTAGAAGCGAAATAAAAAGCAGAAAACCCATAATTAAAACCTCACAAACAGCTGTCAGAAGATAAACTGCACTGCCACCATAACCTCACAATTCGATTGAAATAGAGGAATTCATTGAACTGAATCACAGCGGAAAGAAACACTCCAATGCACATTTTCACACCATTATGAACAATTTCACAACCGAATTTGTTCTTATTTCTAAACTGCCTTTCCTGTTGTTCGGGCAATTCAAAAGCAGCATGTGTATGCTTTCATCCTCTCATCCACTAACGCAGCAGCTTCCGATTAACAGTTAAACTAAAACAAAATGTAAGATAGAGTAAGAACCTCCACATAAATTCCAAAAACCCTAGCGACTCCATAAAGACTGGGCTAATCCAACCGAGAACAGGAGAAATTCAGACACTGAAGAAAAAACTATACGAGCGCGCTACGGGATGAAGAAAAAACACCTTGAAGATACGAAGGCATGGCGATGAAAACGCACTTCCATGTACATGGAAGCGAGAGAATCAGCGGGAAAATTCAGCGATTGGGCTGCGGAGGGGAACTAGAAATTGAGGTGAGAGCTTCGGAAGGCGGAGGAAAGAAAAAATGTGCAGATAGAAAGATGACAGTGTTGTGTGTGGCGTGCTACTATTTTTCCTTCGGATTTGTTTGGATGTAAGAAAAAAGGAAAAATTGAAAAAAGGGGAAAAGAAAATGATGAGGTGGCGGGAAGGGGTGACTTTTATCCGAAGACGTGGAGAAGGAACGAACGCAAGAGGAAAGGATTTTAGGCTGCCGCTCCTTTTCTTTCTTTCTGGATGTATTGTAGTGTCATTTTATTCTCTTTCTTCCCGGTTCCCAAATCGCAAGCTTTCTGATCGGAAGGAATGCCGCAGCCGATGTCGGCCATACGAGCCGATAATTTGCATCACGTGGATTCTGATACGTGGCTATACGGTCCGGTCCGGTCCGGTTAAATTGGCTCAAATTGATCCGGTCTAGTCCGGTCTTTTTGAAAATATAAGGACCAAAGATTGGATTGGATACAATTCGATCTTGATCCGGGTCGGTCTTGACCCGGTCCGGTCCCAATTCGGTCTTGATTTTATATTGAACTTGTGAGGATTTGAGTGGCCTAGGGCCTGAAAGGGTGAGGAGTTGGTTAAGTTTTGTACTAAGTGCAAAGGTTTGTGACCGTTTATGCAAATTACCCTTAAGTTTTGGGTGTTGAGCACTTGAGCTCTCTTATCCGGTCTTTATCCAATTTTTGATCCGGTCCCGAACGATTTTTTACCTCAAATCTAAGCCCAAAGATTGGATTGAATTGTTTATTATCCGGTCTCGGTCCGGGTTATACAATCCGGTTTCGGGTAAAACCAAAAAACCCGAACAAAATAGCCAGCCCTACTGATACCCACTATTAGTAAACTAGCACCAGGCCCATTCAGTTGGCCAAAGAGTTCCATGGTTATATGTGCAGTAGTGTAGTCAGGATTTCATAAAAGTGTATTCAATTATTTTACAGAAAAATAATTGTAGATAATTTTAGATATTTCTTGTTGCGAGTTTCCATATTTTGAAAAACTTATAATTCACATTATTGTATCTTTTTTATATCCAATCAAAGAGATGAGATACCGTCACAACACACTTTGTAGCCATTAGATACATTCTTTCTCCTGTCGCCTTTTTTTAATCGATGGTTAAGATTGCACGAAGGGTTTTTTTGGAATGGAAAAAGTTAACCACATAGGATTACTACCACTATTAATTCCCATATCATTTCCCTATCTCTAAAAATCCTAATCATATCCCCTTTCTTTGCCGCCTCCACCACTAGTTCTCCCTTTTTCTTCCTTTTCTTCTTCTTCATCCTATCCTCCCGTGTCGTCGGCGTCACCACCATCCAGCCCTCCCGCCGCCCTCACCACCCCCTGTCGTCGGCTCCGCCACCATCACAACCTCTCCTCGTCGCATCCCTCCTGCCGCCCTCCGCCCTCTACCGCTACAACCGCCTCCCACCACCATCACCAACGTCACCTTTGGCTCCCCCTTCCCTTCTTCCTCCACCTCCCACCACCTAGTGTCTTCACGCCGCCACCGCCGCCGCCAGGTAACCGCCTCTCCTCTGCCTTCACCTTCCCTCATCTCCTGATTTTTTTTCAGATCTGAGATTTTTTTGGATTCCATATCTAGTTTTTTTGTCTTAATCTCTAGTGGTACACTACCAGTGCTAGTGGTAGCGCTACCAATGAGTAGTGGTAGCGTACCATTACGAGCTACCAAATGATAGTGGTACGCTACCACTACCAAGTACTAGACAGATAGTAGTGGTAAGCTACCAGTTACCACTACCAGCTACCAGATTGTAGTGGTAGAGCTGTACTGGTACTGGTAGAGTACCACTAGAGCACTGACGAAGAGGTAATTTTTTTAGGGGGTCCGAGCGATTCTAATTTAAAGGATTTCGCCGGAGAAAGTCTGTCGGTCAGAAAGTCAATAAGTCGGTGTGGAGTGCCTACTGAAAAAAGAAGAGAGAAATATATTTATTGTAGGATTTTAATTTAAAAAACATGTATTTAATATGAGTCTTTAATTCTCAATATGTAATTAATACAAAAAAAAATTAATAATTTTTTTTTGTCATACCCAAATGCATTTGGTTGTAAATCTCACAATCCTATTTTTTTTTGTATTGCTGGGAGGCCGAGGCCTAGAATAAGAAGAAGGTTACAGGGGATTAAGAGGGAGGAGGGGGACGAACCGCAATGCGGCGGACCAGAGCAGTGCCATGGGCATCATCTCTAAGAATACTCACTAGACCGGGTGGTGGGTTAGCAAGCTCATGAACACCGTAGGGATAGACGAGACTGTGCTTCGAGAGCCAGTCCGCGACTCTATTCCCTTCTCGGTACACATGAGTGATGCTGACCAACCAATCCTGTCCTAACTTCCTGCGAATACTAGAAAGAAGAGTAGCATAAGGGTGAATAGGGTCTTCTCTGTTCTGAATGAGGTTCAGGGCAAGCTGGGAATCGGTCTCCACTCTGACGGTTCTGTATCCAAGGTCCCAGGCAAGGTTCAGGCCATGGTTGATCCCCCAAATCTCTGCATGAGCAGCAGTAGTCTCACCAATGTTGGCAACAAAGCCTCCCATCCACTTTCCCGTAGAGTCTCTTATCACTCCTCCAGCCCCTGCCGGACCCGGGTTACCATTCGACGCTCCGTCAACGTTCAGCGTGACCCACCCAGTCGGAGGGGGAGACCAACTAATGTTAGCCCACTGGCGCTCCGCTGGTCGCAGCCGGTTGTCCGGGAGGAGAGGAGGCGCATGCCAGGCTTCGTGCCAAAGCTTCGTCTTGGTCATGATAGAGTGCTCCAGAGAAGGAGCCGTAAGGGCGGCAGCTCTTCCTTGGAGAGAGGCCGTGCACCTGTTCTTCCAGAGAAACCAAATCGCCATGCTAAAGAAAGCCGGCCAGCTGATGTCCCCTGACCTCATTCCCGTCTCCAAGAGGTTCCTGCGGAGCCAATCGCCGGAGGTCGCACTAAAAAATCCCTGCTGGTGCTGGGGAGGAACATGGCGGGACCAAAAGAAGAGGGCCGGAGCGCAGTCCCTGAGAATGTGAAGAATTGTCTCCGGCTGGCTCGAGCACTGCAAACAAAAGGGGTCCGCTGCGATCTTCCTGCTGTACCGGAGGGCGTTGGTCGCGATCTTCCCCAACAAAGTCTGCCACAGGAAGGTTCGAACACGTTCCGGAACCGGGAGGCTCCAAATGATCTTCCAGTACTTCTCGTCGGGGTCAGGCTGCTGCTGCGTGAGGAGGTTGAAAGCAGATTTGGTGGAGAAGCGACCATCAGCAGTGTCCGACCAAAAGAGCCGGTCTTCCTCTTGCGAGAGCTTGTCAACCGCAATGCACAAAATCTTCTGGTAGACATCAAAGGGCAGAAGGTCGCTGAAGAGCTCCGTTCGCCAGCTTCCATCTTCATGGGTAAGTTCAGCAACAGTAGCCTCCTCCTGCTCCAAAGGGATTGTTCCAAGCGCCACATCTCGTAATGGGACCTGCAAAACCCAAGGATCAAGCCAAAATTTAGTGCCTCTACCATTCTTAATGTTCCAAGCACACCCTTTTTTAAGGATGGGTGCAGCTTTCGAGAAGCTGGCCCAGGTAAAGGAACTTCCCTGAACTGGCCGGAGAATGCTAAGACCTTGTCTTTGTCTTCCATATTTTGCCTGCATGACCTGCGTCCATAGGCTGTCTTTCTCCTGCAAAAGGCGCCAGCCTCCTTTAGCTAGCATGGCAAGGTTAGCCAGCCGCGTGGGTCTGAGTCCGACTCCGCCCTGGGACTTTGGAGTGGTCAATTTATCCCACGCCACAAGGTGCATCTTGCTCTTATCAGGCTCATCTCCCCAGATGAAGTCTCTGTTCAACTTGTCGATATTCTTGCAAACTTTACTGGGAATCATCTCGGTTTGCATGTTATAAACAGGAAGGGAAGCAGCCACCGACTTGGTTAACGTGAGTCTCGCAGCGAAGGACAGGCGCTTAGCCTTCCACGGGGCCATCTTCTTCTGGATGCGGAGAATGAGTGGTTGGTATCTCTCACAAGAAACCCGCTCCTGAATCGCTTGAATTCCAAGATACCGCCCCAGAGCCGCCTTGAGAGGTATTCCCGCGTGCTGGCTCAGTCTCGAAGCCCTGCGTCGATTTATATTAGGAGAGACATATAAAATCGACTTCTCATAGTTAACCTTCTGGCCCGAGCTAGAGCAAAAGTCCTCCAAGCATCTTTTCACCACCTGGATCTGCCTAGTTTCAGCCTCTGCGAAAAGGAGAAGATCATCTGCAAAGAAAAGATGTGTAAGGGGTGGTCCATTAGCAGAAAGCTTGATCGCTTTCCATTGGCCACCATTAACTGCCTCATCAATCCTGTGAGATAATCGTTCCATGCAAAGAACAAAAAGGTAAGGGGAAAGAGGGTCTCCCTGGCGAACACCGCGAGAAGGTGAGATTGGCTGGGAAAGCTCGCCATTCCAGAGGACGCGCATCCTGTTTTGCTCAACACAGGTCATAATGCAGTTAATCCAGGAACTCGGGAGGCCCACCTCCTTAAGAGTATCTCTCAGAAAGTCCCATCTCAGCCTGTCATAGGCCTTCTCCAGATCAATCTTGAAGATCAAGCCTCCCTTCTTTCCTCTCTTCTTCTCCAGGGTATGGAGCACTTCCTGGGTCACGATGATGTTGTCTGTCGTCTGCCTGCCCGGAATGAAGCTGCTCTGCCTTGGTGACACCAACTTCTTCATGATGGGCTTCAATCTGCTAGTCATAGCTTTGGTGATAGCCTTGAGACTGACATTGTTGAGAGAGATTGGCCGCAGATGGGTGACTTTCTCCGGAATGTCGACCTTCGGGATTAGCACCAAGGTAGAGTCTGTGATGGCATCCGGGAGAATACCTGTAGAAAAGAAAGATAAAGCCAAGTCTGCTAGGTTTCTCCCAACAATGTCCCACATTTGTTGATAGAAGACTGCATGGTAGCCGTCCGGTCCGGGGGCTTGAAGCGGTTTCATCTCAAAAATGGCTTTGTGGATATCCTGAATGGTGAAGGGGCGGAGCAGGAGCATGGTTTCCGACTGGCTAAGATGTGGAAAGGCCTGCTTGGGCAATCTGTCATCATAGGGGACATCCTCCTGCATGAAAAGGTTAGAAACAAAATAAAAAACAAGCGAGGCCAAGGTTTGAGGATCTGTCACCCAGTTATCATTAGCATCTTGAAGCGCTTCGATTTTATTCTTTCGCCTTCTGATGTTGACAAGCT